CCCCCCCCCCGCACCGTCCATGGCCTTTGGCTGCCCCCGGAGAGGCAGCTGAAGGCCAGGGAGGGTTAGGACGGAGGAGGAACAAGAGCGTGCCTCTTCCTCCCACCCCCCCACCCCGTGCTGTTCCCAGCCTTCAACTGCCTCTGGAGGCGCACACCTCTTCCTCCTCCTCCCTGCCTTCCATGTGCTGGGGAAAATGGCTTTGCATGCCATAGGTCCGCCATCATGGGCTTAGGGAGTGCACTGATAAGTGGTATAGAAATGTAAATTGCTATTGCTATATAGTGTTGGCAATTATTTCCTTAGAGCTTTCAAATGTGTTTTGAGGTCTTCAGGCAAGTGCCATTGACATATGACATATATTTTTGCTACCATGACATATATTTTTGCACTTTTTTGTGTTTTACATGTTCAATGTGTACCTTGTTCCAGATTTGGTCTATTCAGATTAGTTACCAGTTGGCTTCTAAATGTGTTCACCACCACTGGCTGCATCCCCATACCTAATGTACTTGTATTGTACATGCAGCTATACATTCCTTTTGTTTTTAACTGCTTCAACTGTGTGGATGCATGCTGCTGCCATTCATAGTGCACATGGTTTTGAATCAGTAGGTAGGCATTTCAGATGTGCTCAGGGTTAACGGTCATTAGTGTGTGCTCACTAAACACAGTCCAAATTTAGAAGAAAGAAACAGCCAAGTATGGCTGGTAGCTTGCATGTCAATGTGGTAGTGAATCTGCTCTAGCCTTAAGTTCAAACTTTAAATGAGCTATTTACTGTGTTGAACTCTGTCCCCTAAAACAGGTCAGTACCTTGCTAAGCTCTCTTAAGGTTTAGACAAAGAACCAAAGCAGATTCATACCCCATTGACATGGAAGCCACTAACTGCTGCTGGAAATAACTGTGGTAAAAAGATAATGGAACAAGATAATGGAACTATCTTCTAGAACCCTGTAATACAGATGGACTGGTGTTCAATGTTTAACTCAGTAGAGCTGCAATAATTTATGTGAGCAAAGAAAGTCTCACGAAGTTCTGTTTACCTATCCTCTGAAAAGCCTGCAAGCAGGCTTGTGTTCTCTTGAGATTACAAGGCCTGTGTTTTAGGTTGTTTACAGAATAGCTGCAAGCAAATCTGTACTTGTTGGAGCTTGTCACTCATTCACCCATATTTCCTTTGGGCTTATGCAGGAAATTGGCCGTATCTCTATAGAGATGCATGGGACTCTGGAGGACCAGCTCAATCACCTGCGGCAGTATGAAAAAAGCATTGTGAACTACAAACCAAAGATTGATCAGCTGGAGGGAGATCACCAACAGATCCAGGAAGCACTCATCTTTGATAATAAGCACACCAACTACACTATGGAGGTAAAAGCTGTGGAAAATTTCACACAGACATTCAAGGAAAGGGCAGACTTTGGATTTGGATTGGATACAATCCTGGGTCCCACTTTACCTTTTTACCAATTTGTGTCCTGTGAGGGCATGGAATGGAGAAAGACAACTCACGAGCACACACATTTTCTGCAGTGTGATTTAGTTTTTCCTAGAAGCAACATGGGTCATGCTAGCTGCTGGAATTCTCTTTGGGCCAGGGAGAAGGAATTACTGAGTGGACATGTGAGGGGAAGTTCTCTCTCTCACCTGGGGAGCACCAAAACATTCTCCACTGTACTGCTCATCTTGGTTTCCTGCAGATCATGGTACTGCAACTGCAACTACAATCAATAAAACCATGGCCTTTTTTCTTCACCTTTTCACAGTCCATGCTGTCTTTTTGCAGGGATAGCAACTATCTTTTCAATACCAGCCAGATTTGCTCTTGGTAAAACTGTTGTTCATAAAAACGTAGCATTAACTACCCATAATACCATATTGGCAGGCAACACATCTTGCTAATCCTATAAACGTCAAACAGCAGACAAGGCACCTGATTTCTCCTCAGCAAAACAGTCTGCAAATTCCACCTGACTCTCCAATGGAGAGTGGAAAAATCCCCATGATAGGGTTGCCTTAGGGTCACTATAAGTTTGAAACAACTTGAAGGCACACAACAACAACAATAACAAAAATTCTTGTTTCCACTGTCATAGGATCAAAGTATACATGCTATTCAATTCATCACATACAGTTATCAGTTTTTGTTTTATTCTAAAATAGGTGTGGACAGAGCATAGACTAAATATGGTTCTTGGAAGCCACCTTTATGGCCCAAGCTGGGTGCCCTGCCTATGGCATTTCCTTCCATGGCCTTTCCCAAAAACAAAGATTGCCACCACAAGGCTAAACATCTGGCGGACAGTCCAAATCTGCTGGTTAATGTGATGCACAGACAGAGGTATCCCCATGCACCCACTTTCCCTGCATTCAGATGGGGGAGAGGTTAAAGCTTCCCCCAGCAATCTTCAGTAGGTTAATTGGAACAGGGGGAAGCTTTAACCTCTGCCCCACAGGGTAGTTCACTTGCTGAAGATGGGCAAAGTTGAAGGCCCTCCCCCCAGTGAAATGTGAAAATGCATACATGTGTGTAAACAGGAACGTGTGCAGCCCGTAGCCACTTCCAAATATCAAATGTGGCTGTAGAAGTTCCCTGTCACAGTTTTCAGATAAACATAAGCATCTGCACATGTATTAGGACTGCAACATGTGTTGTTGGGTGCTTCCAAGTCATTTTTTTACTTATGGCAATCCTAAGGTGAGTTTGTTCAGAGAAGGTTTGCAATTGCCATCCTCTGAAGGTGAGGGTGACTTGCCCAAGATCAGCCAGTGGGTTTCTATGCTCGAGCAGGGAATTGAACCCTGATCTCCAGAGTCGTAATCCAGTACTCAAACTGCTACACCACTTTGGCTCTATAGGGAAGGTTCAGTCCTTATACACATGCAAACCATATACTGGCCAGAAATGCTACTACTAATAGTAATAAGAACAACTTTGGTGCCAATGAGTTGACTTTTTGTTTTTACTATTTCTAATTGCTGCTTGCAATAGGGGCAATTTACAGTAGAAAGGGCAGAATTAAACCTCCTCTCCCTTACACTGTGTTCCCAGTCCTGCTTAGGAACTCTATGCTTAACTAAGAATAATGTAAGGATAGAGAGCTACACACTAGATGATTTTATCCTAAGGGAAAGCATAGACAAACTGGTTTGTGTTTGTTAGTTCAAACAGCTTACTTGACTTTATTAATTTTGAACAAGCATCTTCACTTTTCTCTCCTAGCATATCCGAGTGGGCTGGGAACAGCTCCTTACAACAATAGCTAGAACTATTAATGAGGTGGAAAACCAGATTCTAACTCGAGATGCCAAAGGAATCAGCCAGGAACAGATGAATGAATTCCGTGCCTCTTTCAACCACTTTGACAGGGTAAGGGGGAATTTGTAACAACTGTAATGAAGAGTGTTTCACTGTTGGAGGTTTGAACATCTCAACTCACTACCTGTCAGTTTTTAGCAAATTAATTTTTTTTATAATATCCTGATGAACTAACTGAATGAGTTCACAGTCACAAGGTCACTTTATTTTATTTGTACTATTGATAGATTAATTTGCCACTTGATAACAAAGCTTACGTACCTATAGTATTAATCTTAGAATAACCAATAACTGACTGAGCATTAAATATGTTGTCACAGTCTGAGAGGCTTACAGTGCCGTGCTGTTAGCAATCTATTGTACCTTGGATTCAGTATAAGCCCCTGTTTTTGGCCACATTTCCCTGCTTCATTTTCCCCTCTGGATGGCTTTTGCCTCAAAAAGATGGAGGCTAACCTCCTATGGTACAGTGCTCAGTACAAGCAACTTCATCTGTACTGTTCAGCAACTATGCAAAGGAAGAATAAATGACCAGATAAACTGGTCGTACAAACTGAATGCAGCTAGTGAGTGAACACTCTTCAGTCCACTGTCTTACACCTGTGTTTTAATCAAGTTTATATTCACTGTGTGGCCTTTTCTTATAACCTTGAAAATATGAAGGACACATTAATATTACAACACATTTCTGGGTGCATTCTAAGCCAAAGTCAGGGGTTTCAATTTTCAATGAACTTCAAGCAGCACAGTCATTCGGTCCTGTTGCATACTAAAATCTTTAGACTAAAAATGACTGCACTTGACTAAGGTGGAAATATTTGTATACTACTTGTACTTACAGGTCCTTGTAAATCCATAGTTCTTTATTCCAGACTCAAAAGATCTTGTCCATGCTTTGATTGTAAGGTTTTGGTCAACAATGCTCATTGCCTTTGCCTGCTTTTCACTAGTCTGGAAGTTGTTGATTAAATTATGTTAGTTATAAGCTCCTGAAGAAAATGTAATTGATTATCAAAAAAAGGTCTCAAGAAAAGCTATTAAAATATGGGCTAGAAAATGTGACTGTTAGGTGGATCTGTAGTTGGTTAATGGCCCAAACTCTTAAGAATACTGACCTGTGGGTCCTCTTTGGCCTGGAGAGAAGTGCTTAGTGGGGTGCCACAGGGTTCTTTCCTGGGTCCAGTGCTATTCAACATCTTTGTCAATGACTTGGCTGATAGAATAGTGGCATGCTTATCAAATTTGCAGATTACGCCAAATTAAGAGGGGTAGCTAATACCCCAGAGGACAGGAGCTGAATTCAAAATGATCTTAAAAGATTAGAAAGCTGGGCAAAAACTAACAAAATGAATCTCAGCAGGGAGAAATGTATCGTACTACACTTGGGAAGTAAAAATGAAATGCACAGACATAGGATGGGTGACACCTGTGCTTGTGAACAGTACATGTGAAAGGGAGCTAGGAGCCTTAGTAGACCACAAGCTAAATGTGAGTTAACAGTGTGATGTGGCAGCTAAAAAAGCCAATGTGATCCTAGGCTGCATCCATAGGAGTAGTGTCTAGATCGAGGGAAGTAATAGTACCATTCTATTCTGCTTTGGTCAGACCGCACCTGAAATACTGTGTCCAATTCTGGGTTCAGGAGGGATATGGACAAGCTGGAGTATGTCCAGAGGAGGGTGACCAAAATGTTTGAAGGTTTTGAAACCATGCCCTACAAGGAGCGGCTTAGGGGCTAGGTATGTTTAGCCTGGAGAAGAGAAGGTGATATGATAGCCCTGTTTACATATTTGAAGGGATGTCATATTGAGGATGGAGCAAGCTTGTTTTGTGCTGCTTCAGAGACTAGGGCATGGAGCAATGGACTCAGGCTACAGGAAAAGAGATTCCATCTAAATATTAGGAAGAACTTTCTGAGAGTAAGAGCTGTTCAACAGTGGAGTTTGTTGCCTCACAGTGTTGTGGAGTCTCCTTCTTTGGGGGTCTTTAAACAGAGGCTGGATGAGTATCTATCAGGACTGCTTTGATTGCATATTCCCACATGGCAGGGGGTTGGACTGGATGGCCGTTGTAGTCTCCTCTAACTCTGATTCTCGTAAAGCAGTTTTCAAAACTCACTACTAGCAGTGATTAATATGCAAACATTTGAGCAGACAGAGCCATACCTTTTGAGAAATTGGTGCATTTTAAATTAAAATAGCATCAGCACAACCTGAAATGTCAACGTAGTAACTTTGTGCACTTTTTATTTTCTCCCCTGTCTTTTTCTGCATGCCATTTTCCTCCCGCCCCCTCTTTATCCACTGCATGGTGCACCACCTCCTTTTCTCACCTTCCCTTGTCCTTTCCCCTCTTTTCTACTTCTTTTCTTCATCTTCTATCACTACTCCACTGGCACTGCATGTCCGGCTGCCTGGCACACTGCATAACCAGGACCACTCCGGCACACTTGGCCCCGAGGAATTCAAAGCCTGCCTCATCAGCTTGGGTTACGATATTGGAAACGATGCACAGGTACTGAATGCAAGTGGGGATATCGAGATATTGAACTATAAGGAAATAACATATTTCTCCCCCCCTCTTCCTTTTTTGTTTTAATCCATGTGTTGTCAATGTTCTTGTATTCTGTTGTGCATATTTCCATCTACAACTGTGTTTATGTTAATGCAACTCCATTCTTTCCATACATTTTCTTTTGCTCCCTATTATACATTCCATTTGTTTCGCTTTATATTTTCATACCCTTTGTCTTCTTATCCATCTTTAATTTCAATGGAATATATAAATCTCTTGCTTTCTCAAACCACTGTGATGTTCTGTTTCATTGTTCAATGCATCTTGTTTTTCATTCCTTCTCCTCAATGCAAATCCATTCTTTGTAATATCTTCCATGTGTTCATCTCTTCTTGGACTGCTTTCCACTCCTCTCTTTCTTTCTTTCCTCATTGCTCCATCCTTGAATTACTCTTTGTAGAAGAAGACAGGCATGATGGATGCTGAAGATTTCCACACCTTCCTTATCTCCATTGGTTACAATATGGTAATGTAGAGACCTCTATCATTCTATCCAAAATGGCATTTTAGCTCCTCAGAAGGAGAAGGGCATATGTCTAATAATCAAGGTAAAGGCCATGCCAGTCTCATGGCTTTCAGTCATAAAAAGGTTGTATAGTTTAACATCTTTACCTCACATATTTATTTACAAATTAGAATGTTTGATTTAAACTATGTTTTAGAACTAAAAACAGAATATTATCTGAATTTCTGAGTGATCAGTCTCTGAACAAGGATAGGAATTAAGGTAGGGTAGAAACATCGGTCATAATATGTTTGTATTAGTAATTTGTTGTGCTTCTACCTAAGGCAGGCCCTTGCCAATCTATGAATGGTTAATATCTTTATAGTGCAACCCTTACCATCCTTACTCAAAAGTAGGTTCTAGTGCATTCAGAGAAGCTGATTCCCAGCCAAATGTGGATAAGATTACTGCCTTCTGGAGGAGTTCTATAGTTACAACCAGACCAGAGATAATGCTACAGTTAGATAGGGTGACCAGATGCCTTCCTTTTCTGGAACATGTCTTACATTTCAATTTCCTGTCCAGGAGGAATTCCAAAATGTCCTCCATTTTTCAGCATGACTGAGAAGCATGAATTTATACTTTTATTTGTGTTTTTAGCTTTTATTTGCTCATGCCCCACATTTTTCTCGAATGTCCTACATTTTTGGAACCTTGTCATCCTTTGTGGTGATGAGATCTGGTCACCCTGCAGTTAGAACCAGTATAATACCTGCTATTTCTAGCGTGAGCAAAAGCTTGGGAAAAAAGAAAATAATTAAAAATATATATAAAAACAAGAAAAACAATCCTAGCTTTCTTGGAAACTCCCCAGTATACACCAGTTAGGGATTGTGCTGGCAATGATACCTATATGCTCTCCCACACATAAAGAGAACTAATAATTCATGATGACAGGGAGGTATATTGCCTGTGCATATGCCTGTATACCAGATACACATGACAGCATTGGAACATGTATTTGTGTGCATGCACACACACACATAGTATAGCCAGCCATGATGCCATCTAGGCTTTTCTACTCACAAATATTTCATGGTGATAGAGTAGCAGAGCTTCCCCCAAATCAGAAATGGTCAGTTTGTGCAAGTTTGGTGGCCAAAATTTTCAGGCTCATAAATGGGCAAGAGCAGCAAAATAAATTAATAAAATAAAACAAAACTGATAGTAACTGTGGTACCTACTTTTTCATGTGGGGGTTGGCCTGTGACCACTGCTTCTAGAGATCTCTAGGAGTATGAAAAAACGATTTGTTAAAAACAAAAGGTGTGGAAGCAATGGGAGCCCATTGGTCATACCAAGCCCATCTCTGCCATAGGCCATGGACCAACAGATCTCCAGTACAGGATTTTGCCTTTAATAACCTGTTTCCCCAAAATGTAAAGTTGTATATTCCCTCCCACAATAGAAAACACCATTGTCACCTTGCAACCCTAACAGAAATTTCAAATACA